GCCCTGTTTGTTAGTGAGCTTTCTGGCTCTATCGAGAAGTCCTTGGCTAGCACCGACTTGAGGTCGGCTTCGTCCTTGAAACCCGCCGAAAACTTCGCAATCGTGTCTATCCCGGCTTTGAACAAGGTAGCCTGGGAGGTATCCGGGACCCGATTCTGGGTCAAAAGGTAGCGAAAATCCGTGGAGCCCTTTGCTAGCTCCGCTGGGTCAGGCAAGGAAGCCATTCTGGATTTAGCCCGCCAACGGGCTAGCTACCTTTCGGCTACTGTCGTACTTGAAATCAAAAGCTCTAGCCATGTGGCCTTTCAGCAGGGCTTTCCCCCCCTAGCCGGAGAGATGGGAAGGAAGGAGGATCAACCCGAGAAACCCGGGCCCCCCCCCCCCCCCCCGCGGAGAGTTGGGAAAGAGGGAGTGCCCCCCCCCAGACCCGAGAGGCCGCCCCCCCTCCCCCCCCCCCCCAGAGGTTTCACGTATCCTGGGAAAACCTAGCCTGGCACTCTCTTCTTTCTGGCAAACGGAAGCACTAGCCGACATGAAGTGAAAGCCACACTATCCGCTATTTTCGTCACTAGCCGCAAGTCTGGGAGATCTAGCCATACTACCGTGCTTTAGCCCGGACCTTTTCGGCCCCTGCCAGCTCCCTTAGCCGGTCCACCATAGCCGGCCGGGGGCCGACAGCTATTGCACGTATGGCCTCTATCCCCATGCGTATCCAGGCAGTACCACATCCTCTTGTTGCACTGCTCTATTATCCGGTGCACCACATCGGGTTCTTCGCGAAGTAGCCGTTCGGTGGGCCAGGTTGATGTTCACCGCCGCTCCCTGCTGGAGCGCCGGTCTCTCCGGGGCTATCCGGCCGTCACCGGCCATAGCCTCCCACTGGGCCTCGTTGTATCGGCCCGCTCCTAGCCTTCTGTCTAGCGGGTGGCTGCTATCCGGATGGATGTAGCCACGGTCGCTATCCCCACCGCGTCCTTTGGTGGTGCTCTTAGCCTGCGGCCTCAAGGGCGGGAAGGGATCGTATCCCGGCTCGCCCTCGTGGCCGCCGCTGCTGCTGTGTATCCTGGTTGCTATCCGGACCATCCTGGAAGGTGGAGGTCCATCCTAGCCACATAGGCCGGGACGTCCGCCGGTGGGCCACGGTAGCCCTGCATGCATCTAGCCAAGAACTGCTTCAGGCTCTCGCCCTGGGCAGGGTACTCTGTACTCGCCCTTAGCGGTGTAGCCGTGGTCTCTGCCGCTGCAGCCCTAGCCTGCTGTAGCCCCGGACCCGGGTTGACGACCTGGGCCGGGTCTAGCCCAGCCGAGAACGGCAGGGTGGTAGCCGTTTCTTCTTTATCCGCTGCACTCCCCTGTCGCAGCTTGTTCTTAGCCTTGGACTCTTGGACCGTCGGCGGGTCCCTAGCCGGCTTCTTGGGCCTCGCCGCTGCGCTATCCTCTGTGCTGGCCTCCTCTGCCGGGCCTCCCCCTGCCACGGTGTAGCCTCAAGCTCGTTATCCGTGACGCTATCCTCCTCCAGGGTCTCTCCTGGTCGGTGCGGTCGTAGCCCGGCCAGCTGCCGGTTCTTCTCTATCCTCTGCTCAAGGTATCTAGCCTCGGTGGTGGACAGGCTAGCCTCGAGCTCCGCAGAGATATCGTCCCAAGACCTAGCCCCTTGGAACTTGAGTAGCCTGGCAGATAGCCGGCCGCCAGGCTGTATGCTAGCCCCCCTGGCACTCGGCTAGCCCCATGTCCCTAGCCTTTCGCACTAGCTGGAGAAGCTCGTGCTGCTTATGCAGACTTAGCCGATCGTATATCTGTTCGGCCAAGCTCGCCGGGTCAGTCTCTAGCCAGTCCTCTAGGAGGCGTAGCACTTCTATCCGTTGCGCCTGGACGCTAGCCGACTCAGTCTGGTCTGCCCAGCTCGGGGCAGTAGCCATGTGCCGCTAGCCGGCCAGAAGGCACGCGGGCTCGCCCACCTAGCGTGGGCTCTCCAGAAAAGCTGGTGGTCCGTTACTCCACCCTAGCCACAGTAGCCGCGGCAAGTGCATTTGTGCTGTGCTCTAGCCCACAAGCGCAAACTCAGCCAGACATGTGCACATGCAGCTTAGCCTGCCTAAGAACCTCGCGACCTACGTCCTAGCCAGCAGACAAGACAGCAAGTGCAACAACGTGATTCTCTCCTCTCTCTCTCCTCTCTTCTCTCCCCTTCTTTCTCCCCCTGGGCCCCCGCCCCCGGAGAGATGGGAAGGAAAGAGTATATCCCGAGAGGCCCCCCCGGACGTATCCCCCCGTTGGCCAGCCCCGCTGCTCTCCCGGCGTTTCTATCCCTTCAGGCAAACGGCGGTCCCCAGCCTAACGGAATAGCCGGCAACGGAGCCATCGGCAACTGGGGTACTATCCCCGGAGGTACTCCCTGCAGCTCTGCTGCTGGGACCTCTCCGAAATCTTCTTCCTCTCCCTGCTCCGGCTTCTGGTCGCCGGTGCTAGCCTGAGAGGTGTCGCTATCACCAGACGGGGACTCTTCGCCTCGGCCTTTCGGCCAGCATAGCCTACAGACATGCGTGTACTGGTTGGGTTCGGGCCTCGCCGAAAACTCTTGGGAGTTCTTAAATATCCTACGGCGGCCCATCCAGCACCCGGCCTGGCCCCCCTTGTGTAGCCTGTACTTCTTCCCTGGAAGCTCAACTATGATATAGCTCGTGCACCTAGCCTTCTTAAGGAGCTGCCTCGGCCGGTTCCGGTTGGGTTCCGGTCCCAGCTCCGGCTCACTAGCCGAGGAGTCGGGTCTATCTTCGGGAGGATTGCTCGCCACGACTTCTTCGGGTATCCCCGGACCAGCCACCATCTCCACGATGCGCTCGCTAGCCCACTCTCGTCGCAGCTCTCCCGATAGCTTCTCAGCTTCCTGCTCGCTAGCCTTGCCAGTCCGGAAAAGCCAGCCACCAAGATCGCCGGCTATCTCCCTCTCGTCTAGCTGCTGTTCTCGGTCCCGAGCCCTAGCCGCCTCTGCGTAGATAGCCTGGAGTCGGGCGACCCTTCCGCCATAGGAGCGGATATAGGTATCCGATCCCTCGGGCTTCCAGCGTCCTAGCATATCTCTATCTGCCGGCGGGATTGGCTTTAGGCTCAGCCCGGTGGGTAGCACTGCTCTCTCACTGTGCTCCGACCAGTAGCCTCGGGCAATCGTCGGGATCCCCACCATAGCCAGCAGTCCCGCTGTAGCCACCATCGCATCTGCGTAGGTAGCCATCTTCTTCTCCAGGGCGCCTCTCTCGCCTAGCCTTGGCATGAGATAGTCCCGCTGGTAGCCCGCGTGGTTCTTTAGCAGGTCGAAGCCCGCCTGTAGCCAGCCAGGGTGCTCGAAGTAGGCTCTCTCCGAGATGCATACAGGTAGCTCCCGTATGCGCCTGTTAGCCCCGGTGGTTTTCGTCCGTCGCAGGATGGTGGATAGCCGACCCTCCACCATAGCCAGTTCGTTTGGGACCATAGCCTGGAGGTCCGACCATCGCAAGCTGCCCCAAACCTTTAGGAGCTTAGCCCAGGCCCAAGCTCTCCAGCCGACGGCCACAGTTGTATCCAGGACCAGGCGCTCCCACCTAGCCAGGATAGCCGCAGGATATCGGGGGGCTCGCCGCGTCCAGGGCGCCTTCCAGGATAGCCTCTCGACGACCGTATCCTTGATCGCCCACGCTATCCTGCCTGAGGTAGCTCTCGACTCGGTCGCCCATTCCGCGACCCTCTCTATCCAGCTGATGGCCTTGAGGATCGCCTCGGGGACTGTTCGCCCGCAGGGCTCGTCGCCCCTAGCCATGATGTAGTCGGCCAGGTCGGCCGGTAGCCCAGGGGGGCGTCCACTCTTAGCCTCCCGTAGCCATAGCCGCCATCTCACGTGTATCGAGACGTAGCGCTTGAGAGTGCTAGCCCGGGTTTTCCCCGCTAGCGCCAACACCGCTCTATCCGGGTCCAGGCACCCCTGTAGCTTCTTCAGCACCGGCGCCTCGCACAATTCTAGCTCTTCTTTGAGCTTGATAGCCCAGGTTGCTTGTAGCCTTTCTTCCCTAGCCTGCGCCAGGGAGCCCTCGTTGACCAAGCGCTTCTGCCTATCCCCTTTCGGGGGCTCCGGCTCGCTATCTTCCTGAAGGTCGATGCCTTCGATCGCCGGCCGCTTGCTGAGGTTAGCCCAAGCTAGCGAAGTTGCTCTGTATCCCGACGATCTCTCCACCAGGTCTCTAGCTTCCTGGGCCTCTTGTATCCACAGGTAGATCGAGTCGCCGATGTACTCGTCGTAGCCAACGCCCAGCTCCTCAGCCACCTGGTGCCCAATATCTTCCGCGTCCTCTAGACCGAGGGTAGCCAGCTCAAGCACACCGAAGCCCCGCGACGCCAGATGCTCATGGCATCTATCCAGCACCGCACGCTTCTGCACAAGAGCGCTATCCAACAAGGACGGAAGACCGATGGGGGTCCCTATCCCTCCGGAGGGAGTAGCCGGCCCGACTTCCTGCTCTTCCGGCACAGCCGTGGGCAAGACGGTTGGGCTCCCTGGCTCCTCGCCCCCAGGACTAGCCGGAATCACCGTAGTAGCCGGAGACTGTGGGCTAGCCGTCCGCGAAGCAGAAGGGGGGCGCGGGGAGGCCATTCTCGCCTGGCTAGATAGCCAGGTTCCCCTTCTATCCCCCCTCTACTTCAAAATTACCCCCCCTGATGGGGGACTTGAGCCAAAATGGCCACGGTGACACACCGTCGTAGCCATTCCAAGTCACTGCTATCCTGTCTTCGCATGTCAGAGGCAACTCTCCTGCGAGCGACGATAGCGAACGAAACTTCGTTTCTAGCGAAGCTACCTTCGATAGCTTCGAGTAGTGATAGGTAAGCTAGCACACATAGTCGTAACTCGTTCCTCGTCACGAGGTACGTAACCCAGAAATACGCCGGGTTTGCTCGTGGGAGAGAACTTGCTGGGGCGCTGGTAGGATGATAGGCGTTGATCGATGTCGGGTCCTTGGAGGGATCCAGACCGATCGCCATCACCATCGTCAATCCACTCGAGATAACCATCATCATCGAATCCAACTTCGACTTCGACCAATCCATCATCTCCAGGCGCAGGTACGGCATATTCCTCACCATCGCCAAGTACGACTTCATCCTTCTGACTACGCCGGGTTTGTTTCCGTGCTGGCGTGGGATAGAAGTCCACAAGACACCCGAATGGGAGAATCTGACCGTCAAATTCGGCACCATCAAATCGTAGCGAATACGCACTTTGTCCCTCGCGTAACTCGATGTTGCGAGCATGAAAAAAATGCTTACACGCATAAGGCCAGAATTTGGCGCTCAGGCCCGCTTGTCGAAGCGCCACTCGTGCGCCATGAAGGACAAGCTTCACCTTACTCTCGGCAATGGCATTAGTGCGAGGCATGCCAGGAGTGGAATGCTTTACAGAGATGCCGACTCTTTTGCAGGTCGATATGAACTCACGGGCTTTATCACAATAGATTTCCCGGATCGCAGAAGGTGCGTACCTTCTCTCCACATCCATGGAGAACGAGTTCACATCCTTAAGGTCGCCGAAGACCTGCTGGAACGCTCGAAGCGTGTCGGCATTCGTCCGCCCTTTGACGGGAACACTCTCTAACCACTCAGTTGCTAGATCGTAGAAGACAACAGCATCTGTTTCCCCATTATTCCCGCGATTGCCAAGCCCGTGCAACACCATTGATAGTATCGATGGTGACGTGCTCGCCAAATTTCTCAAATCCTTTATCGCGTGGTGAGTCTTGGCGAAACGATTTAACGTTTTCCATCTTTGCACGTTGGCATGCATCGCAGTAGGGATTCTTAGGTAGATGGGTCATAAGGTGACGGATGGACTTAGCCTCCTCCCTCAGATCGCGCGCTCTTGGTTCATCGGGCGGCGACTGATGCTTGGGTTTGTCGGGCACCTTCTTGACATCGTCAGGTGCACCCTTCTGGGCACTCTTAACACCAGGCATATCAAGATCGAGCTCTCCGATATCATCTAGCTCGCCCACAGGTTCTTCGCCCGCGGCCACGATTTTCTCGTGAATAATGATCGGTGCTGGGAGTGCCGGATACACACGAGGGAGATCAGGTCGACCCGCCACTACCTCGGTTTCACTCGGAGCGAGGTAGGGGATGTTATTGATAACATCAATCTTGAGTTGTCTCCCTTTGGGATCAAAGAATATCGGATCGCAAAATGGTTCCCAGATAAATCGGTATCCAAGCTCCTTGCATCGCTTCCCTAGGGAAAGAAGACTTGGTGTGCTTTCCAGCACATATGCTTCAATCAGCTCATCAAGGCCGTCAATGCGCATATGGGCAACACCTTTGGTGTTAGTCTTTCCATTGGCGGTCCTAAGGCTGATCTTAGCATTCTGAACTATCAGATCCCTTTCCTCGCGGGACAGATCACCGAGACCAATAAGGTCTATACCGCAACCGGAGTCGAGCATAAGTCTCCGGACCCTCTTAATAGACTTGACAGCAGCAGCAAAGACCTCGCAAGCGCTCCGCTGAGAAAGCGTGAGCTCAAGAACACAAGCATCATTACCTAGCGTTTTGGCATCAACGTCATCGAGCAAAACCTGGTCTCTCCAAAGCACAGCCTTCATATGCGCCCTTCGCCTCTCGCGAGCACTATTCAGACCACGGATATCTTCCGGCCACGAATAGTTCAAATTCCTCTTACGATTGACGGGACCGAAGTTTGGCTCCGGGAAAGAAGACTCTATCACGCGGGTCTCAGTATTCCCAAACGATACTGTCTTCCGCTTGACTGACGGACATGCCATATCGAATGATGCAACGCAAGCGAAGGCGAAGTCTCCAATGGAGGATGCTGTCATTGCCTGAGGGTTGCGGCACGCCCCTTTCAAAAATCCGAGGGCGTGGGCGCCGGGCTGTCAACCCGCCTTGATGTCGGCGCGGGCTCAGCAGGCGCAGGAGCGGCGGTAGGAGTGCTCTCAGCTGGGGCACCCGGCTTCACATGCTTATATGGACACTTGTCTCCTCTCGAGCAAGTGCCTCGTGCAAAGTAGAAGCAGATACCAGACTCCTTTGAAATCGGTGACTGCGATCGGGGCGGGAAACCCTTCGGCGAGGAGCTTCTTCCCTTCAGGTTGTGGGAGAACTTGCATCCGCTTCCTCGCGTACATCTGCCTTTCTTGAAATCGTAGCAGATTTCCCGTCCTCGCGGGGATCGCGACATCGGGCGAGTCGGGGCGGGAGCTGCTCGTCCCGGACTGCGGGAATATCGTCTTGGCGATCCACGTCGCGGGGAGGATCGTCTGGGTGACGAGCGTCTTGGCGAGCTCCTTCGGTACGGACTCCCTTTCCTGGAGTCACGACGCCCTGGCGATCTTGAACCCCTTTGACCTCGGGATGAAGATCTGCGCGGGCTACCGTGCGCAGGCGCAGCGTATCGTCTCTGCGCAGAAGTAGACCTTGTAGCGGTGTACATCTTCTCCTGATTGCGTCGTCGGCGCCAAGTTGTAATCGCATTGACGCAGACGGTTCGCAAGTATGCGTAGTTCCGTACGGATACGTCCCTGTCCCATAGCTGCATATCGAGCTCGAGACAGCGGAACTCACGCACCTGCTCATAAAAGAGAGCGCAGAGAACAGGATCTTCGGGGCGATCGACTGAAATACCAGCGAGAACATGATCCCATCGATTGGAGAAGGCTTCCAGCCTTTCCTGCTCGGACCCATGAGTAAACCGATCAATCGTAGTCTTCATCAGGTCAACGAGCTTGAAAGTCGAATCGCCGGTGACGTGTGGTCGAAGGAAATCATACAGTAGCCACAAGATCTGCCTACTTCCGAGTCGCCGGTTTATCGTATGCATGCGCTCGGTCTCGGTCTGGATCTTATTCTTCAGTGCAATGGATCGGACGCACTCGCGGAACGCAGAGTTGCATTCATTTTCAAGCATTCCGTACTTGCACTCATCGAGGAGATCCTCATATCGCGTACCATCGGGAATCTCAACCCATGAGAGTGCGTATCCGGGATCGTAGGCGAATGCGTTCGCGACTCGCTCTTTCATATCGACGATCCAGCGTCGCAGCTGAGCAGGCTCCGGCTCGGGATCGAGACGAAAGGACTTGCACTTTGCCTTCTTGGCCTCGCTCAGCGATCCATCGCCCTTGGGTCCACCGAATCCCGAATCGTTGGGACCAGGTGGATTCCCAGTCTGTCTCTCAAGACACACGAGACAGATTCTCAAAGGATCTCGGCAACATCCGTTGCAGCACGAAAAACGGCAAGAGATGCATGATCGCCGTACAGTGGTCGGGAAAGTTCCGGTGCAGCGTTCGCACTGGAATGTATCGCTCCCACTCGGCCGACCGGATGGCCTGATGCTAGGCGGATCAAGGCCGCCATCAGGCGGACCACTCCCATCAGGGGGGCCACCACCACCAGGCGGACCACCGGGTGGGCCGTCAGGTGGGCCACCACCTCCACCGGGGCCAAAGCCGGACCCGTGGTGTCCATGTCCACCGAAACCACCGCCATATGCACCCCCGTTATCGTTGGGGCCATCACCACCAGAATAACCGCCGCCTCCGTTATGCGCGGGCGGCGGTCCACCAAATCCGGATGGCGCGACACTGGGTGCAGGAACGAACGTTCTGGCGTTGAAGGTAGGTATTGGGGGCATGGCATCGTTGGCTGCATCATGCTGAAGCGTCGCAGTAACACTCGTGTTCGGTGCAAGGGTAAAAGTGCCGGTCTCACTATGGAGAATTGGTGCGCCAGCACTGTTGCCAATGAGATTTGACCGGCCAAGCATCGCATCATACCATCGTGATGGTCCCTTCCCAGCCGGGACAGTTCGAGTATCATAGGAGATTTGGCATGGGAAGGTCGGACTTGACCTGGGCTCAGGAGCGAAGCTCCGGGCTTCAGGGACGTGTTGGATGTCAGTGCGAGGAGCATCATCGACTTGAAATGGCCTGAGGCTCGGAGTCTGACCGGAAGTCGCTCCGGCGGCATTTGCGGAAGGAACGGCCTGATTCGGCGATCTTCCTGAGAAACACGCCGACGTTTGGCCAAAATTATGTCGAACGGGCTCAACGGGATTATTTTGCCCGCGACTTTCGGCAGGTTGTTCGTCGGCGACTCGTTGCTGCGCTCGCCTCAGAATTTCATCGAGATTGATTCCACTCGTCTGAGAGTGAACCGTTGAGGCTTTTTCAGCAGGCGCAGCGTTGCATCCCGGCGGAGAGCCATGATCGATCGGACCCAACAGGGAAGACCTCGGAATGGCCGTAGTCGGTCCGCCAGGGAATAGAGCACCTGGAACTGGCGGCAGGTCCGCGGGGCGTGGAATACCATGGTCACTGATATCGAAGAACTGCGTTCGTTCCGGACGCGAAGGCGTCGATCTATCAGAACCGCCTCTGCGGACATGAGCGTTCTCGAGGTGCTGGATCCGAGCAGTCAGCTGATCGATATGAGCTCGGTTACTCTCCTTATGATCGTAGAGAGCGGGACTCATCTCGGATCTGATGACTTCGATGCGGTGAGTAGCATTCTGCTCCACAGCAGCAACGCGCGCTTCGGCATTGGAAATATTGATCTGAATCTGCCGCAGCGCGTCTGGGTACTGCTTGATGTGGCGGATCGTTTCGGCAAGCTGCATGGATAGCGATCCAGTACGCTTTTCGTTGAACTGATGGATCCGCTCATCGAACTCAATAAGTCGATCATTGATCGTCGAGGTGAGCTTCGCAAAATGATCTTCAAGCGTCTCGTGATCAGAAATCCGCCTCTCGCGGAAAGAGTCCTGAAGCTGCATGAACAGCTCACGCTCTTTCCTCAATTCGGCCTGAAGAAGCTCCCACATGTCTCGGATCTTGCTCTCAAGCGCTTCGGTGATATCCGAGACGCCGTTCCTCAGTATATCGAGGTCGGCTTGGGTATTGGTCACACCCTGCGCGATCGCCAGAATATCGGTGGCGATGCGCGCGGATGCTTCCGACCCAATGGCTTCATCGACCAGGGCCCTGACAGCACAGGGTCCGGTATGCCACCCGCCGTTATCGATGGCGGGGGCGGCACCACCATGACCCGCCGCGGTAATCGTTGCGACGGAATCATGGGGTGCACCCGGATGCTCGCTCATGGGCTCATCCGGGCTCATCGGGGAGCGAGGCTCCACCGCGGCCAGCCACCGGCCCATAGGAATCGGGGCGCGGTGGGCGGAAGGACGCCGGGTCCGAAATCGGTGGACCACGGCCGTCCGGCCCAGACCCAAAAAGGGCCCGAGCGCCCTCTGGATCCCCGCGAAGGGACAGAGGACAAGCTGAAAGATCGGTCGGAAGAGGAGTAGGTGCGGAAGCAGCAGGAGCAGCGGACGCAGAAAAGGCAGGCAACAAAGGCAAAGCACGAGCAGTGGCAGAAGCAGGCAGCATGCCGGCGGGCATCGTGCCAGGCGTTGCGAAAGCAGCAGCAGCAGAGCATGGCAAAGGCGGCGCATGGTGCTGAGCTCTCTGATCGTCCTCAGCAGGCGGCGAAGCAAGCAGCGAAGCAGAGCGAGCGAGCGAAGCGTGCGAGGCGGGCGCAGTGCAGCGAGATGCGTGGGCACTATCATCGGGCTCCACGACATCCCGAGCAACTGGCGTCACTAGTGAAGAACCGACAGTCGAGGGGACACGGGGAGAACCGATCGGAGTCGCCATTCTCTCGGTGGCGCGGCCAATCACAAGTTCCGAACTTGGTCTGAGCCAGGAAAACGGTAGTGATCGGACGCTGATTGGATCAGGCGGTCCGAGTGCCAAGCAGCAGCAGCGAAGCAGCAATCCACAATCGGATGCGGAGGCCCTACGGCTGATAACCTGTGAAAAGCGGAGGATTCCACTCAACTCTCGGTCACAAAGCCCAAGGCAACCAATCGTAGATCAAAGCAAGGCAGCAAAGCAAAGCAAGGATGATCAGAGATTAAAACCGTAAGATTGATGCTCAGCGGAAAGGAAACACCAACACTACCCTAAGTGAAGGCGGGCCTTTTGCTGGACCTGACGCAGAGCCGTCGGTCTTGAGCAGTCAAGCTGCGTAGTGAGACAAAGTTGGCGTGAATCCTAACCAAGACACAGAAGCACATGTACGCATGTCCGTGACAAATCACACAACAGTAGTACTGTAGTAGTACAATAGTAGTACAATAGTAGCACAGCAGTAGTACAGTAGTAGTACAATACTAGTACAGTAGTACAATAATAGCACAGTAGTAGTAGTGCACTAGCTCCTATATCCCACCACCATCCCCGGAACTCCACCAGGACGATAGTAGTGCGAAAGTAGATAGCTAGCGAGCTAGCCGAGCGACGACCAGACTGACAAGCAACAGCAGCTAGCACGGACGTTCTTTTGTCTGGAGTGGGTTGCCTGGAGATAACTGATAGCCTTCGGCTATCTATCCCCAGGGTGGGCAGGGTGGGTACTTCAAAATTACCCCCCCTGATGGGGGACTTTATCCAGAATGGCCACGGTCACACACCGTCGTAGCCATTCCAAGTCACTGCTATCCTGTCTTCGCATGTCAGAGGCAACTCTCCTGCGAGCGACGATAGCGAACGAAACTTCGTTTCTAGCGAAGCTACCTTCGATAGCTTCGAGTAGTGATAGGTAAGCTAGCACACATAGTCGTAACTCGTTCCTCGTCACGAGGTACGTGCACTAGCTCCTATATCCCACCACCATCCCCGGAACTCCACCAGGACGATAGTAGTGCGAAAGTAGATAGCTAGCGAGCTAGCCGAGCGACGACCAGACTGACAAGCAACAGCAGCTAGCACGGACGTTCTTTTGTCTGGAGTGGCAACTATCCCAGGTTGCCTGGAGATAACTGATAGCCTTCGGCTATCTATCCCCACGCATCGCCACTCAGGCTACCAGGGATCTAGCTTTCTGGCCTTACGGCTAAACTTGGACACCCTATCCGGGGTCCCTCGCTTTCGCGTGCCTAGCTCCTGGTAGAAGCTATCTGCATGCGCGAGTAGCCGGCCCAGAACACGCCACTGGAATTCCTCTCCTTTCAGATCTATCCTCTGAGAGGGATCGAATTCCTTGAACTCCTCGTTTGTAAGGTCATCCGCTAGCTGGTTGATGTCTCTCCGTATCCACTGGAGCTGTAGCTCACAGTTTTTCTGGGATAGCTCTTCTGCTATCTCCATTAAAACTAGCATGGAGGGATACTTGGTCGTCATAGCCTTCTTCACAAGTGCCTCATTGGACTTGTTATCCGTATAGCCGCGGATGGCCACTCGCGAGGTCTTCCTATCCTCGCCCTCGGGGACCCAGAGACGTATCCCCACGAGGGTCGCTAGCAGTTCTAGCGCAGCTATCACTTTCTTGGGGTCGCCTTTGGCAAAGGCCCACGGAGCCCAGGCCCTATCCACTTCTAGGGAAAACCAGGGACCCGGCTTCCCTCCGGAAATCTCCAGGAAGCCCCCTATCCAGGCCCTATCGGACTCAGCTTTGGCATCCGTGAAAAAGCTCAGTGGAGGTAGCCCGGCGTAGAGAGTCACTGGACGCTGTAGCCTCTCTCCTTGGTCAAGCTTGTCGGCTAGCCACCGCATCAGCACCCGGAGCATCGTCGGAATGGTGAGGTAGCCGGACTTCCCTTGAATGGCTGCGCTCCACGCGTGGAGCGGCCCTAAGAAGGGCCTCTGCCAGTCCAAGGCTATCGCAGCAAAGCCTAGCCGACCTAGCCCCTGCTGCATCTCCTTGGCCGTGACCTTGCCGATGGTCACCTTGTCGTTTAGCCACGCCGATAGCCAGGACGCCCGTTTCTTGGACATCCCTAGCCTGTAGGAGGAGTACTCTGTCTCCATTCCCAGCCACTCCACCCTATAGCCACCACGAGTCTTCGCCCACTTGAAAGGATATCCCAGAACAGAGAGGAAAAGGTAGCTCAACGGGATACCCTTCCTCCCCTCCGTTCCTATCCCCAGGGCCTCGAGGTCATCGGCATATAGCAGGAGGTCGATGGGATAGCCGGGGCCCAACAGATGATGGGTTGCCCGTAGCCCACATGCGGCTATCCGGGTCCACCAGTAGCTAGCCGGCGAGAGTCCGAACGTGCCCACCTTGTTGACGTAGACGATCTGGCTATCCGGGTCCCCGGGGATCGTCTCCTCGGTGTCTATCTGGCAGCCCATGAAGCCGTGCTCGCTAGCCTGGTGTTTGTATCTCCGGTGGGCCTTCGAGATATCCCCCACAACCGAAAAGGCAATCTCGCCACAGCGTATCAGCTCTCGGAGGATTTGCTTCTTTTCTCTAGCCCCCGGCGCCCGGATCTTATCCCGACAGCGTATCCGGTGGTTAACCCGGACGCCGTGGGTCGCGTCGTGGATTATCCGCTTCTTGTCCTTCTCCTCGTCTTCGACTATCACGGCCAGGGAGGCGATAGCCCGGTCCTCGCCGAACCTCGCCTTGAACTCGCCGAGGGTCATTCTCTCCATGAGGCCTTCCTCGACGTCCTCGTCGAACTTAGCCCGCACAAAGTCCCTGTGGTCGCTAACCGAAGAATAATTCGGAACCCATGCTAGCGCCGGCTCCCAAGGGGCATTGTCTAGCCTCCAAGAGGATTGCTCCTCGAACACGTGCGGTGTTCTGGGTAGCCCCTCCAATATCCCAAGTGGGAGTCCCTCCTCGGCCCGACGGAGGAAGTCCCTATCCGGGTCGCCAGCCGCCTCGAGGATAGCACGAAGTAGCCGAAGACGGAGGGGCTGCCCAGGAGGAATATCCAGTAGGCCAGGTTCGCTGAGGTCCTGACCTTCTATCCAAACTTGCAGGAGTTGCAGTAGCTCTTCGTGTAGTTGGCTATCCCGGACGAGCTTGCAGGCCGACTCGCCTCCCATAGCCATTCGGAAGGCCTCCTTTTCTAGCTCGTTCTCGGATCCCACTCGCCTGGTGACCATTTCCCGGATCTTAGCCCTCAGCCAGTCCCAGGATTCGCCCGCGGCATGTCCACGAGAGTGTCGGGGCCATCGCCCAGGAGAGCATAGCCCGCCACCGTCGTGGAATTCCTTTATCCCGTCGTTTTGATGGCATCGGCAGGGGGGTCCCGTGCCACCATGTAGCCGTGGGCCCTCTGGTTGGTTTGTAACATAGTCGAGGTCGCCAGAACTTGCCTTATCCTGCACCGTCGGTACCCCCTCTCCGGAGGCAGTCGGAGCAGTAGCCGTGCAGGTTGCCAGGGCCAACTGTGCTAGCCATCGGCAGAAGTTGGAGGGCCACTCGCCAAGCGTCTCCTTAGCCAGCATGGGGCTCTGCGGCGTCGATGAGGTAGCCGCTTTCGGCAAGGGGCCCAAGTAGTAGCCCATGTTGTCGAAGGTGGGGAGGCCTTCGTGCACGGTAGCCGGCATCTCCAGAGGTGTCTTCAGTAGCAGTCGTGTCGGTTTCGCCGAGGGTGCCCCGAAGTTATCCAGGTGCAGGGCCACCGAACGTAGCCCGAGGCCAATTAGCCGTTCATGAGCCTCCCATTGCCACATGCTGGCCGGTCGCCGGCCTTTGTGGGGGCCAGCCGGCATAGCCCCCAAGTCTTCTGGCTGCTCCAGGACGAAGAAGGTAGCCGAGGAAGCCGCAGCACTAGCTATTTCAAAAGAAAAATCAGCAAAAATGTTGCCAAGAATAGCCCGGTCTCTTTCCTTGGCCGTGAGAGTAGCCAACCCTCTGGGCTCGTCGAAGCTTCGGACTGGCCGGGGACCTTTACGGTTAGCCGAGCTCGCCCTGCCCGATTGAACTTTGTGAAGGTACTTCGCCCTCTCCTTGGAAGTAGCCAGGTCAATGGGTGGGCTTCTCGCCAGATCCACACAAGAGATATCGATGTCGAGCCCGAAGGAAGAAACTAGCCGGCGGAGGTGGCTTTGGAAGCTGCCTAGCCTTTCTCTTCCCGAGAAGAGGTAGAGAGCCTGTAGCCGCCGGTGTGCCGGTGTCGCCTCAGGTGTAGCCGATGTAGCCGGCTCAGGCACCGGTAGTCAGTTGGCCGCTGTCGACGTCGACGGCGTAGCCGTGCCGGGGCAGTTGATAGCCGAATGCGGTCCCCGACACTTCGTGCAAACATGCACGAAGTGGCACTTATCCCCCTTCTTGCAGCCACCTTTCAAATTAAATCGAAAACATATCGGCTTGTCATCCTCGGTGCGGTGGAAGGTAGCGGTCTTGCCCTTGCCCTTCTTGTTGGGCTTAGCCGGCGGGGTGTTGGTGCTATCCCAGTTCCAGGGCTGCGGCCTTTTAGCACAAAGGGACAACGGAGTCGTGAAGTGCCGCTCCTTGGTAGCCGCGTCCTTCCAAGATTGGACTAGCGCGTCCGCGAAGGCTATCCCTTTGAGGACCATCTGCTTGTAGGCCTGTTTCCGGATAGCGTTCTCGTAGGATAGCACCAGGGTCCACGGGGGAGCAAGACTTCCGCTAGCCTCGTTGGACCGTAGCCCATAGCAAAAGTCGCCGAGCAGATAGTCTTTGTATTTCTCA